AATTTTTCACGTTCTTTTTTTTCCATTAAATCATTCGATAAATCCAATTTTTCACGTTCTTTTTTTTCCATTAAATCATTCGATAAATCCAATTTTTCACGTTCTTTTTTTTCCATTAAATCCACTTTTTCCTGCATTAAATCCTTCATTAAAACCACAGTGAAATTCATGATTTTCGGTATAGCTTTTGAATCTTTGGGTAATTCGGCAAGAATTGGTGTAAAGTCATAATTGTGTTGGTTAATGAGAGAGGATGATAATCTACGTTGTGGCCACAAGGGACGATAGAACTGCATCTAATAAATAACGTTTTAAGTGTTTGTTCGAATGAAATAGAAAATATATAAGATGTCTCATTTACTTACCGGAGGCCTTAGCAATCTTAAGCGTGAAATCATTTGCGAGAAATTTTTGATTTGTATAGAAATTGGTCAAAGATCAACGGTGCGAATAGTGGTATATACTATATAAAAAATTTTTCATATGGTCAAATCTACTTTATAAAAAATATGATCGCATATTAATGATTATTAGTGATGCAAAAACAAGCCTTAATACTGTATATCTTTCATTTTGAAAATATTATCACTATAATAATCATAATAAAGATTTTAATACTTCTGGCTATGTCTTAAAAATGAAACTTTATTTAAATTCCTGATCATAGATTCATCATACTTTTAAAATAACAAATTTTAATTCATACTTCAAAATCTGAGTTTCCTGATAAATCAATAATTTCTTGAACATCTCATATATATTTTGGTTAATATGAGTGAATTCACTTGACTTTTTCTTTATTGATATTATTAAAGATATTGTTTTGATTACCTTTTCTACCACTCTTACTTCATTTACCAAATCATCTACTTCTACCTTCTTTATTCTCTCTTTCTTTTTTGATTTATTTTTGATCAAGCTTATCATAATATATAAAAAACTAGATATAAACTGACAATTAATAAAGAAAAAACTTTTTATATAATCAAAGAAAAAAAGCAAATTTGCATTTTTTAACATAATTTTCTCAATCAATAGCTTTTCTAATATTTTATTTACTCATAATATTAATACTTTAGATCATATTTCCTTATTAAATAATTCTTACAAATATGATTACTATTGGTCTTTTTTTAAAGTGATGATAACTAGTTATTTTAATTTTTTCTCTTTATAGTTTTGGTAGAAAAAACTGACAATTACAAATTGGCAAATATCTTGCCTGGTTTTTATTAAAAAAATTCAATATTTTAAAATTAAACCTTACAAATATATATAATGAAAATATAAAAATCCTAAAATTTATCATGTGACCTTAGCTTTCTACTATTATTTCTACATATCCTGGCATAGATCTTACGAGATTAATACATAAGTTTACATTGATTGCCTCTTATTCTTTTCTTATAAATCTCATAAAAATATTCTATGTTACTGATTTTTTTCAATAACTATAATATTAATCTTCTTCTTGATATTTCTTTTTATTATTATCTATAGATTTTTAATTAGATTAAGATCTGAAGAAAAAGATGGCTAATTGAGAACTTGAGAACAACGATCCTGAAGCAAAGTGATTGTAAGCTTAGCTTGATGCTTAAGATTGTTATCCTGTTAGAATGTCTACCTATTTCAAAAGATCTGAGATGCTTGCTCAAACAAATTTTCAGTAATAATTTTCTAGTAAAGCTCACCATTCATATTCTCTGTGAATATATGAAATCTAACAATTCTCTTTGCACAAAACGCACTCTACACATAGACTTTAAAGAGGTATTTTATCACAACTTATCTCAGCATTATTTCTCTAACTTTGTAACAAACTAGTGTCATATTATGAAACATCTGAAATATTAACTTGTTAGAAATATAACATTATTTTAACATTCTTCTTAATGAGCTTTCATTCAAGTAATATGATGATTCATAGCATCTTGGGTAAGAAAAGAAACTGAACGAGAAATACAAACTTTATACTTAAAGTCTTGAAGATTTTCTCTAACTGTCTGAGATGCAATATCAAAATCAGGGTATTTTTTTTAAATTTTCAGTTATTTCATTACTTGACGCACATTTGCATAATTTCACAATTCAATCAAGATAGTGACGCTAAAAAGGAGAAAGAGTTTTAGATGTCTTGAACGATTTCTTTGTTTAAGATCGTTCATTTCTTTGAGTTATTTGACTCATCTGTATAATGTTTTTAATAGATATCTGATGACTTTTTGAAGGTCTACAACTTTACGAATGCCACTTTTTCATAAAGCTTTAATACATTGATGACGCTCTTTTAATGAAACTATTATATGATGCTTGTGATCACTAAGCTGCAGATATTTATTAAAATATGATGTAAATAACTTGTTTATATCGTAATCTATGTTATTATTTAAATAATAATTACTCAGTAAATCTTTATGATTAAAATCAGATAGAATAACTGATTAGTCTAGTAGAAGTTAGTGTTACTAGTGAAGAATATTAGGTAATAGTTTTTATTTTCTACTTTTATACACATTTTGAGTTTTTTATGTATTTATTTATTGGAAGTGTTTTTTTAATAAAATATTACATTATTACGTCTTTAAAAAAAAATAATTACAAAAACATAAAATTTAGTTTATTGGATTTATCACATAAAAATTTATTAAATAGTAGTATTTTATATTTCTGAGATTGATAGATAACAAGATATGTAAGTTTAAAATTTTAATTTTTTTTATAATAATTTATTATTTATTTATCTTTAAAAAATCACTAGTTAATTACATTTTTTTTTTTGGATTTTTACTTAGAAAATATCATAAAAATTATGATAAAAGTATTAATTTTTTTAATAATATATTTTAAAATATTTAAAAATAATTAAAAAGAATTGTAATTAATAATAAAATTGTCTATAAATTTGTAGGTAAAATAATTGAAGGGATAATAACTATCTTTATAAATAAATAATATTTTTTGGTCTGTATAAATATTTTATTAGAATATAATAAATTAATTTTTTATAATAATTATAAAGTTGAAGAAAATATATTAAAATTTACTAAAAATTTTAAACTATTGATATTAGCAAAATAAATATTAATTATTATTATTTACTTGTTAATTCTTTTTTAAATATTTTATCAAATTTTGATTTTTGATGAAATTTTTTATAATTTTGAGTTTTAATAATTTAATTAATAAGAATTTATTATAATTTTACTAGTAATTTTATTAAAATTTTATTAAATAACTATATATCATTAATATACAAAAATTATATATAATATGTAATGTTTTTTTAAAAAGGTTTTTTTTTTTTTTATATTTTATATTATTATTCTATTAATATTTGTTTTTATTTTTTAATGCAAAAGTTAACATCCAGTTTTTTTTTTTTAAACCAATCTTCCAATGTAATAAATCCATTTAATTTCTTAATAATCTACATTTATAATAAATATTTTGTAATTAACATTCAAATCTTAATATGATTATTAGAACAATGTAAAACATGGTTCTTACCATTATTGGCTCTTAAACTAATTAATCTATCTCTTATATAGTTATTTAATACGATATTCTGTTTATTCAATTTTTCTGCTAAATAAGATGAATCAACAGAAAATATCAAGGATTACGTTAAAAATAGATTGTTAAAAAATATGGAAATAATGATTCTTAATTTTAAAGCCTGACATTATTCTTATTCGTATATAATATCAATAATGATCAAATCTAAAACAATGTTGATTTCTATAGCAAATCATGATAATTTTTATTAAAATTAAAGTTCGTCATCTTCACCCTGAGGAGGTACAAGAATCCGATGCTTTTTGGTGGGTGTATTTTCCTCCGATTCGGGAGTCTTGTGCTTACTGAAGGGTTGGTATCCATGAACAGTTTGAAAAGTTGTTGGTTTGTTTTCTCTTGGCTGTTTGCCAAGACGATCATAGCAATAGAAATGTGATCTTGGTATTGCTGGAGCTTCTTTGGTCTTAGATTCTTTTTTCGTATACGGACAATCACATTTCTTGTCCTGGTGACAAATTTTATGAACGTCTTCCTTTACGATTTTGGCAAACTCCATTTCTCCTTTAATAATGTTGCTGAAATCGACTCGTGGCATCCTGGGTGGAGCATCAAGGATATACATATTACGCTGTGGGATTCCTGATTTATATTTATTAAACAACTCTGCATAGGTTGGAGTGCGATCTTCAAACTCTCCTGGCAGCGCCGCATACACAAAAACCCAAGGTTGATTTGGGTATGTTGGTTGTGACTCAAAACCTCCAATAACTGGTTTTTTTTAAAAAAAAATAAAAAAAAAAAGTAATTAATTATTGCAAAGTTCAAAATCTCAAAAGATAACATTAATAATAATAATAATCATAATAATTAACTAACGTGGATTAAAAAGTTTATTGAAAGTCATCTTTTCCTCTTTAGATTTTTGAACCATGACATTGCAGCAGCTACAGGGTTCGGTAACTGTGATGGTTTCTGTCCATTCCATGGGCTTTTTCTGTACACGCACAAGTTTTACATTGACTTGTCTGCTCAGTGCGTCGACTTGGTCTGATTAATAAAATAAAGAAACAATTTATTACTAGAATAAAAAATTTTACAAAAAAAAGAATTTATTTACCTTTTGGAGGATCGGGTCTAATCCCCATCTTAACTACCATATCTTCAACAAATGCTTCATTGGAATTATCGTATTGATCAATATCCTTTATCAACTCTTTGGGAACTGGTTTATAAGGATGTTTATCCCACCAACTAGGAGATTCATATCTCCATTCTGTTATTGGGAGCTTACTTCTTTTGATATCCTTAACATAATCATTATAGAACACTTGTTGCTTCCATTTCATTGGTTCCCATTTTGGCTTTTCATCCCTGCCATCTCCATAAAGAGGAGTCCAAGTTCCATCATACTCCTCTCTATAAGCGTATGGACCGTCTCGCCGAGGTTTAAGAAGCAACTCGTAAACTAGTCGCGCATCTACATCACTTTCTGGAGGAATATCTGATCCTGGAACTTTCTTTTTATTGGCCTCTATTGTATTTGGGAGACTCTTTGAAACCGATCTATCTTTAAGTTTAAGTTGCTCTAGTAAATCCTTCCCTGAATTGCCATGACGAATATTAGGAACGGTTCTTCTGTAAGATGTATTATATCCCCATGTTGGTTCTTTGATATTTTTTGGTGTTAAAATACCATCGTTATAAACCGGTTCGTTCTTTTTTCTACGAGGGAAATCTACTTCTGTAAGGGTCCTCTCGTATTCTTCAGGAGGAAGTGGAGTTGTACGAGTTTTTTTTTCTGGAAAGAATTCTACATATTCCGAATCGTCATCTGAATCTCCCCCTTTTGGCTTTTCTTTAGTAATAGTAGGTACAATGCTCGATGATATTGTTGGACCCGTTGTAATAGTAACAGGACGTTTCGTGTCAGCTACCGTTGGTGTTTTTAATAAAGGGACGGAAGCTGATGTAGAAACTATTTGAATTGTTGTAGTTGGAACTGCATTATTTAATGAGAATGGAATTGTTGGAACTGTGCTCGTTGCAGGTTGGTCCGCTTTCGATACTTTAGATGTGTCACCAATTGTCACGCTAACGGGTGGACCCGTGGTTGACGTTCCTACTATTCCGTACTGTTGTGGTTGTAAAGTAAATTCTTTTTAAACGATATAAAAAAATAAAAATGTTTTTCTTTATCGTAAATATTTCAGAATAGTTGATAATGAACGTACTTACCCTTGCCTTTGCCCTTATCTACTTTGGGCTTCAATTTTGTTTCAAACACAAGTGGTGGGGGATTATTCGTACCATGCAACCTGAAATAAAGATTACCGGTATATTGATAATTATACGGATTCGGAATCGGAGTCGTGGCCGGAGCTTGCTGTTGAAACGGCAATTGCGGTTGTACAACTGGCTGCTGAGCAAATTGTCCAAATTGTTGCGGTCCCGTTGGTTGCTGAGCGAACTGTGATTGCCCATATGGTTGCTGCGCAAGTGGTTGCTGCGAGAACGGTGACTGCGCTATTTGAGATTGACCGAATCCGAATCCCATTGGTTGTTGCGCTATCGGTTGTGATGGTAATTGAAATGCTTGCGTTGATGCATTTATAATTGGTGGTAAGGATTGTGCTGGCCGGACTAATGGCGTTTGTTGGACTCCAGGACGCCGGTTAAGTTCGTAATCATATAATCGCAATTCCTATTTAAATTATACAAGGTTCAATTACGATAAATTAAACCGAACCAATTAAATATATGAGAAAGATTACCTCAGGAGACCATGGACGAAATGCTTCCATAGCCGTAAGATTCTGAAAGATTTGATATACTCCTGAAGGTTCGCGATCCTTGAATGGTTCGAATTTTGGATCTTGAGTACCCGTCAATCGTGGATTTATGCCAGGTGCTGATGATGCTGTCCCAGTAGCTATTTAATTAAAAGAATATGATAATGAACCGGCTAATAAATTACGAAAAATTTTGTAAGACATAATATTATACCTTGAACGGTTGCGTTGGAAGGACCTGGTATTCCAAACCCAAACGCACTAGAAGTTTGAACATTTGAAGGTCCTGCCTGTGGTTGAGATTGAAAGCCAAACCCAGATGGTCCAGCAGGTTGTTGATATTGTTGATTTTGACCAAAGCCAAAAGCTCCAGCTTGTGGTTGTGGTTGTTGACCGAACCCAAAAGGTGTAGCGCTTGCACCACCAAAAGAAGGTGTTTGTTGTTGCGTTTGACCAAAACCTCCAAAAGGGGTTTGGGCAGGAGTTGCAAAAGCTGACGGAGCAGCTTGTTGACCGAAACCAAATGCAGAAGGTTGTTGGGCTTGGGGATCTATTAACATGTTAAATAGAAATTTAATATAGAAGACTACTTTTCGTTAAAATTGTTAAATAATGTCTTTACTTTGCCAAGCTCCAAATGCTTGAGGTGCGGTTGTCTTAGCAGGGGTCTGAAAACCTAATAAAAAGGGAAAAAGAAGCAAAGGTTAGAAAACAATAAATAAATCCAAGATTAAAAGTGTAGCATAGTACTGTTATTGAATTCACAGTTGCAAAGTTGGGATCATAAAATGCACAGTATAAATATATATATATATATATTATATAAAATAGAAAGTATGTTTATTTTTACCTTGGTTCCCAAAACCAAAGCCGAATCCCTGTTGGCTGTTCATAATCAATAGGTTTAGATGTATATCTTAAGACTTGTTGATGGTTTCGGAAGGAGAATTTCTGACGCGCTATGCTAAAGGGTTCCAAGTTTAAAAATTTATCACGACTCTTTTTTACGGATCATAGGATCATAAAATCCTCGGACACGTGATACTATATGACACTCTCCAATCCGAATTAAGCTTTTTAATACTTCATTAATGTGAATGATTCATATTTGCAAGTTCTAAAATATTAGAAATTTTCATGAATTAACATTAATAAATTAAGAATAGTTAAAAATTATCTAAATTACATCTTGTGTCTAAAGCTTTATTTATTATAACATCAGTTAGATTTAACTAAATCATTTTAAATATATCTTACTAAACTTGTTTTATGTCTCATTCCAAAAGATAGCAGTTTAAATGGTGTATATAAGAACATGCTTCTGATGAGGAATTTGATCTTAAAAATTAATCGGAGACTTTTTGAGCTGATCCGCAAGAAAATAAAGATCAATAAATTATATAACAATATAAATTTTATCGCCCGCACTGCGCCACATTAAAAAATAGCCACAACGGTCTACTTTTCTATTTCTATAATATATATATAAAAATATATGAAAATAACACTTTTTTTTCACGCGCCTTATTTTTAAATTTATTTTTAAATCAATAAGTTGGAACAACATTATCAGATTTTCTTGGTTATGTAACTTTAATAAGAAATCTATTCACACCAAATACTTTTACAAGAAACGAAAAAAAATAATAATAATAAATTTAATTTACATTTTTTTTTTTTTTTTTTTTTAGATTATCCTAAAGCTTTTCTTAACTCATTCCATTTTCTTTGTAATACTTCCCTTTCATTTTCACTTTCAGCGTATCTCATTTTAATCTCAATTAACATATTTTCTAAATTTGATAATTGATCTTCTAAATTATTATTACTTTGTACGAGACTAATATTTTTTTCTGCTAAAGCATTCATTTCTTCTCGTAAATTGGCTTCAACTTTTGCTGGTTGATCTTCAACTGTTTTACGCAATTCTGCTACTATTGAATGTAATTCATCATTTTCATTCTGTACTTTTGCTAATTCCATTTTAGTATTAACTAACACGTTAGCTAATTCAACATGTTCTCGATTGAGTGTTTGTAAACTCCCTTCTAAATTTTTAACATGACTTGATAATTGATTATTGCTTGATCGTAACTTTTCTGTCGCTTCGGCTTCTGCTAATACTTTTCTTTTTTCAGCCTCTTGTTGTGCATAATATGCTTGTTGATATTTATTTAATTTTCTGGTGGTAATCCGTATATTATATGCATCCTTAACAAAATCATTAGTGTGATATTGCGTCTCTTTAACTAATTGAGCAAGAACCCCAGTATGCGTAATCTAAAAAATAATAAATTTTAGAATTAGAAAATTTTATTTTTAAAAGAGGTTGGAAAGAAAAAAAAAATTTTTTTTTTCTTTTTAATATCAACCTGATAATTTTCAAATAATCCACTTTTTAGATATTCTAAAAGCGTTTCAAATTCCATTTCTACGATTCTTTTTTCATTTTTCTTTAAAAGTGCAATGCTAAATCGGAATATAGCTTCAATTCCTTCAGTAAAAATAGTATCATATATTCTAAAAACTAAAGATAAAGGGAACTTATATGCAAAAAGTGTCATGAACCATTGTGAAGCATACATTGAAGAATTTATTCCCTGCGCTTGTAAGTGACTATGAATTTTAGGTAGCATTTCTTCAACAAGTCGATCAAATTGAAAAAGGCGAAGTTGTAAACCATCCATGCCAGGCAAGAAATGACCTCGCATATTATAGAATTTCATTAATCTAACAAGTACACAAAATGCTTCTTCATCAGGCATCTACGTATAAAACATAGAATAGGTCAGTAAAATGAACTTAATAATTCAAACATTACTTTTATGTTGTGATAAAAAAACCTACATTTAAAAGTAAAGGTCCAACAACAAAGGAAATTCCTTGACAATATCCAACATCCGTATCATAAAGCGAATATGCCTTTACTACGTTAAATAATCCTTCTTGGCCTATACCGTCTTGATCCTGAAAATATTTATGCTTTGGAAAAGTCCTATTCAAATCTCTTATGATCATCTTTTCATGAGGACTCGTTTCCTTTAGCAATTGAGCATATGTCGACTCTAATTCACTATCTTTTGATTTTGACATAAGTTGCCATATCATACCACGCAAAGCTTGTGGAATTCCTTTCTGAATCATTTTTGATAGTTGACGCGGCTGCGACCTCGCAACCGTTTCATAATCGGAAATTATTTGACCCCAGAAATCTGGATATAAAAAAACAAAAACAAAAAAAAAATTATTGTAATTTTAATTAGGTTATTTTAAAACAGAAAAAAAAATTTTTAATTCTTTACCCCAATCAATGTCATCGTCAGCTTCGCCCCCAGTAGCCTCATATTGCACACGTTCGAAACTAGCCTTTATGTCGGCAATTCCTTGAAGAGACATCCTCTTTGCCTTTGGATCTTCTTGTAACATTTGATTTTCCCTTTCAAGTCTTGCTAATAATAAATCATAATTAGAACCAGTAGAACCAGTAGATGTCATTGATACAGTTGACATACGATGGGGATCAATTTTTTCACCGCTACTGGTACTTTTTGGTGATGTTGAAGTAACAGTAGAAGTGGTCGAACGTGGACTAAAAAATGTTGAAATTGTTTTTAACGAAGTGGATGTTGAGAAACCCCAATCCGCCAAATTCCATTCTTTAGATGATTCTTGTGCACTTAGAGTGTCATCATCTAAAGAAATGTCATTTAATTCTGGATTCTCTCTAAGAGAAGCTACGGATAAACGATTTAAATCATGTTTTTCATCATATATATTTTCAAAATTTTCATTTTCTGTCCCATTCGTAAAATCGATTGATTGATGTATTAATGTCGAAGAAAAACTACTAGTTTTTGAAGTAAAGGTTTCACTCATTGAATCTCTTTCGCTTTGTTTATCTTCAGAAGAAAATGAAGAGGAATTGGCATTAATTGGTAAAATTTCCATTTCATGATCTTCTGGAATAATTTGTAAATTTTCTCCATTATCATTATTGTTATATAATGGAACATTTTCCTCAGATAAATTCTTTGTAACATATTCTTGACTCGTATTAGAAAAAATGGTGTTGGAATTAATATCATCCAATTTCTTGTTTTCTAATTCATCAAAAATAGATTCTGGAACATTTTCTGAAGGGTTCCCTTCCAAACCGTTATCACTTTTCTCGTCCACAATTTTAATTTCAGATTCTTCTGAGAAACTATCTACTAAAGGATTTTCTACAAAATCATTAACATTTTTCTCCAAAGATTTACCTAGTTTGCTCTCACCGGAATTATCCTCGGACTTATCGGAGGCACTTTCGCTCGGCAATTCTTCTTCAGTGGGGTCAAGTTTTCTTTCTGTTGATACGACGATTTCTTTCTGATCTTTGGATTTATCAACGAAAATTTCTTCTACACTGGGATTGACTTCTATATTAACCTGATCTACATATTCAATAATTTTTTCATCCTTTTCTAATTCATCCTTTTCATATGAAGTGTCACTTTCATGATCAGAAACATTATAATTTTCTTTTTCTGATACATCCGTTTGAAAAGAATCGGTACTAGAAGTACGACTTGAATTTTCACGTCTTGATTGTGTGGTAGTTGATGAAACAATTACTTCAGTTTGATCAGTAACGATTCCTTGAATTGTCAAGTCATCACTTGAAGATGAAGTTTGATCTTTATCGTTGGAAGTAGTAGTATCAACTTTCTTTTCTTCGGCCAAAGCGATTTCTTCCAGCTTGCTTAGCTCTTCACGATCACTTTCATAGTTTAAAGTATAATCAATATAGTCATATTCATCATCAGCTGCTTGATTATCATAAGCATCGACAATTTCTGAAGCATTTTCCTTAGGAGGAACATTGGCTGTTAAAATTGTTGGAACCTCGATAATAGGAAGTTCATTTTTTTCAACGATTATTGACATTTTTTATTTTATTTTTTATTTTTCTTATTTTTTATTTTAAATTATTTTTTTTATTTATTTGTTATTAAGCTTTAAAAAAAAAAGATTGGCTGTGAAAAAAAAAGGTTCAATATAAAAAAAGTTGGTCGCAATCAAAAGTCCCAAGCTCTTGTTGCATTACCATGAAAAAAAAAAAAAAAAAGAGATATTTTAAAGATTGTATGTATATATAAAAGAAAACGGAAAATGGAGAAAAAGAAATTAATATATCGAATATTATACCATTTTAAAAGTTGAAACATTTTTCTAAATTTTATATGACTTTTTTAACTTACCCATGTACTTATTTAGAAAGATGCATGCTGCAATTTTTTTTTTAGATTCCTAATTACGAATTGGGTCAATTTGTATACTAAATTTCGTGGAGCATTAAAAAAAATATGTGCTAATTACAATTGAAACAATTGATATTATAGAGATCTTCATATTTTTAACCGTTTAAAGTCATCCCCGTCGTTTCAGCGCTAAGCAAGCTTCGCCTAGAATTTACAATACATCCAATACATTTCCCAAAAGTCCAATCATCCGAAAAAATTTTGGATACGAGTTCAAACCTATAAAAAGAACACACAAATGCCCAGATGATTTCCCCCTATAACGCTTTCGATAAAATCATATCTTGGGTTGACATATCCGTTGGTAACCAACAGGATATCCGGAAATTTAACGGCTATCCAAATAAAGGTAACTTTATTCCCCGGATATAATCGCACTCTCATTATGTCCGTATTAAGGTCGGCTATAAAATAAAGTATGACGATGTGGATAATTTTGCAATCTTTCTCGAATTTGACAATTCCGTTCATATCATAATAAAGGTAAAAGTTTTGTAGTCGATTGATAAGTTTTTTTAAGATTTTTCTATATTTTTGTCGACGACTAAACGTATCATCAATTCACCACTTGCTTTCGGAATTAATCAATCATAAAATGAAAAAACACGATTACAAAATGTATGTAAGATCCAATCGTGTTGATCGGATTTTCAATATTTGAAGCTTTATTTACAAATTTGGAAATTGTAATAATACAAAAAACTGTTCATTAGAACCTTAATAAAATCTTTAAGGGGATATTAAGATATTTTTTTAAAGCTTTTTCTCATTCTGTGACGTCAATATGATTGGAAGTTGATATTACTAAACGCATTTATCTTGTGTACGTTTTAATGGTTACATACCAGTGACATGTCCGATAGCAATGCATAATTTATATTACATACTTGCAAATTAACTTTATTTTTCAAGTTTTAATTAGAAAGAAAACGAAAATTACTTTAAATTCGCTCCTTTAATTATCCCTAAAACCCGACTCTCCCTATATACCTCCATCTTATCCACATCTTTCCCGACATACTTTTGCGTATATAAACGCATAAGTGCCTTTTACCCACATTCTATACTTTGATAAAAATATATCTAGATTTTTTTTTCATTTTCCCTTTTTTTTTTTTTTTTTTTTTTTTTTTTTTTTTTTTTATAATAAAAACTGGTTTTTCCCCCCTGATTTAATGAAAGAGATTTTTTTGCTGGATTTTTAGGGAATGTGTTCCCGCTG